TAGTGTGAAACTTTATTCAACATATAGTAAACAAATAATAATTATAATCGCGAAGTGATAAATGCATAATATATATTAATTAACAGTAACCAACCTTTGCCAGTTGTTTCTCCACGTCATTTATAGTGGTAGCATCATCACTGTCATCGTCATAAACAATATTATCAATTATATGATTAGTTGGATAAAATTCGTCACTTAAACTGTTCATCCGATTTCGCATACAACGAGCGCACACTTCTGCAAATGGATCCATGATCAGGATTTAATATTACACATAATTTATATGCAAATTTTAAAATCGCAAACAGAACATATATTATTAAAAATGCAATGTGAAAAAGAAAAAACATTTGGAATTGAATATTTTGTTTTTTAAAATTCATTCTAAAATATTGCTAGAAATTAGATTTTTATGAATATTTTAGATTAACACTCAAACTATCAATCATTTTCTAAGAAAATTTAAAAATTAAATACTCTATAGGTTGAGTTTTTACGAAAATTAACTATACATTTTATTTATTTTTCTATTAATTTTGGCTCTAATACTAAACTTCTAGAACTAATTTTTATCAAATTAATAAGTGCAATTTAAAATTATAAAATTATAGCAACAGATTTAATCCATATTAAAGACGAGTTGCAAATTTGTTCCGGAATGTTAGAAAGGAAATTAAACCAGTCGTCAGTCAACAAATTAATGTCATATATGAATGAAAGGATTAGTGTAAATAGAATGTTACAGAGTAATAAGAGAAAGCAATAAGACGTTTACAAATTTATCAAATATTTGATAAATTTTTAATGCAATAAACAATTTTAATTTATCCTCTTGTTGTTAGAATTTCATGTTTTACGTCATTCAGTATTGTTATAATTCCTCATACATTAATTTCAGTTTCTAAATAATCATTAATTTAAATCTGTTAAAAATAATTTTTTTTTCCCAACTATCTATTTACTTAATTCATCATTTATGCTTTATGATTTTTTTTTCTGATCAACGAAAAAATCTAAAAGTAGTCCAATTATTATATTTAAATATCATCGATATCAAAAAGCATATTGTTCAAAATTTTTGTTCATCAAATATATTAACTTTAGTATTTCTCATTTTTGTAAAAAGATTTCTTTTTTATCTGGTAATAAAAAAATGATCGCATGCCTAACCGTTGCTTAGATACGGAAAAAAAGGAAAAAATTCATTTTGAGTTTTTTTAATACAATAATTTCAATGATGTTTTCGTTTTCATTTAATCATGAAAGAATTTATTTTCATAAAAGATTTGCGTTTGTTTTTTTATTAATTTCCGATAAAGACAGATGATATCATTTATGATATTTCAAGCCTTCACGAAAATATCTCATAACAAATTAAAGCTCATTTAGTATTTCTAAAAGCACTCCTCAGATCAATTATATTAATCAATTAATTGCATATTGTTCATAAATAAACAAACAATGAAAAATAAATTTTTACGGAACAAAAATCTAAAACACTTTACTAGTCGAATAATGAGACCCATGTTTAATAATTAAATGAAATTGATGATGCAAAATAAAATATAAGCATATTTTCCGATGAATATAAGCATGGTCACTATATGTAACTTAATTTGATATTTTGATCTAATTTATGGAAAATTACATTTTCATTTTACAAATTTCGAAAATTTAAGTTTCTTAAGGATGAAGTTTAAATGAAATAGACAAATACTATAACAACAGGAAAAACGAGGAAAGATTGCATAAATGAAGGAAAGAAAAGTTTGATTTGTAATATGAAACTCAAAAATAAGTGTCTTTCTTTCATCGATTTAAAAAAAAAGGAGACATATTATTGAAATATAATTGTATAATAGCATTTTAAAAAGCAAAACTTTATATTAAAATTGGATTTCAATTTATAACTATTCAGTTGAAGAAGGTAGTTTGAATAAGGTAGGAAATTTAAAACAATTAAATATGCCCGATAATTCAATGCATTTTATTTCTTTTTAATAATGTAATCAATTCCGGAACCACTCAAATGTCAAAGTTACACAAAAAGGTGCAAGCAATTTATTCCAATTCATCCGTTAGTAAAATTTTCAGATGGAAATTGGAAAAATCCTGTGGCATACATAAAATCAATAACCCATTTATACTATTTATATATGTGTCTAAAAGAATTTTCATAATTAGTAATTTTCAATCCTCAAAAATTCTTCCAAAACAAAAATCTTAACAAAATCTAAAAAAGGAAAATTTAAAAATTGATGATTAATTAATTAAAGGGAGAAAAATATTAAACGTATAACAATTAAAATATTATCGCTAAATAAAAATGTTCATTGATTAGGGCGAGAAAGAAATTTTAAACTTTCCTTATTTTAGATTTATTGAGATTTTTTTTGGTGAAAAAAGAAGAAAAAAGCAACCAATTAAGATAATAATTGCATAAATTTTCTGAAAAACAAGAAAATTTTACGGATTTAATAAAATTACTTCTATTACCATGTACTTTACATTTTTAAAATTCCTCGTTGTACTTAAAAAGTTCACAAATTTTCAAATTTTCGAAAAAGTACATAGCAATTATTTTGCAGTTATACATAATTGATAAACTGATTGCGAATACATAAATATATACTTGAACTTAATTTTCATTTAAGCAGCATCAAAATGTTCTTTCTTTTCAAGCTTATAATAACTATTCTTTTTAAACTTCTAATTGGACGAGAGAATAAAGTTTAGTTATTTAATTCAATTAATCATATAGTTCATATAAAATTCCAGTGTAACCATTAAATAAATTTCAGTAAAAAAAAATATATTTATATCACAGAAATTATCAAATTATTGATTCAAAAAAATGCGGATGAAATATGAAACAAACAAGACATACCGACAAATTAGTATATTCTTAAATGAATTGTAATTATTGTATTATCACTTTTATATTAGCGTAAATATGTTCATGAAATATGTAAATTTATGAGATCTTGAAAAAAAAATCACAATATTTAAGATCTTCAAAAACAATTAGCATTTTTTTAACACATAACAAAAGAAAAATTTATTCCGAAGTAAAAAAAGGAAAAAAAAATTGGACTTTATGATAAATAATGCTAACATAGGTAGATGGATGGAAAAAAAAGAGAATTAAACATAAATATAAATTAGATTATGCAACATATCACGTAAAAATATTCCGTAAAAATGTTTTAAGAATCGCAAAAACTCCAAAAATCAGAATTAGATTCTGCAGACTAAATAGCTTTTCTATAAATCTCGTTTAGAATGAAGAAATTTTTCGAAAGGAAATAGAAACAGTCGTTTAAAAAGATATATCTTTTTCGGATGGGTTATGGATGAACATTAGGATTCTGAATTCGAAGAAATGATAAATATTTTAATGTAACACTAAAAAAAAAAACCGAAAAACGAAATTTACTTCGTATACTTTGTTGCATTGTGTTACTTCATCAGTTAATTTACATTAACTGCTATTTACTTGCTAGTGCTTTTTTTTTCTTTAATTGTTAAAATTTTTGAAATGTGCAATAATTTAAAAAACTATTTGAAATTCCGAACGAATCAATTAAGAAATAATTAATTAATCGATTACAAAAAAAATAATTAACTATTTATAAAATCTTAGCAGAACATTTCAAATAATTAAAATTAGCAAAAATGTCAGTAGTTTTTTTCTGAGATATGTGATGCATGATTATTGAATTAATTGATTTAAATTAACGAGAATAACTCGCTTTGTTTTGTTAAATAATAAATTTAGCATAGGCGATAAATAAGTATGCAATTTAAATGAACTATATTAACAAAGTCATTAATTTAGAAAGTAAACTTTTCGTAATTGCCATAATAATCATTACAAACTGGGAACGGATTTAAATTTTAAAATTTAATAGTAAAAAAAATGCGCTTTAATTAATTTGTTAATTGTATCAAAAATTGCTTGAGTGTTACAGTTTTGTTTTATTTTTCTCACGTAAAAAAATTCCTTTTTTTGATAAGTGCTTTTGAAAATTTGAAATTTTGTGAAATTTATGAAACGAAGCAAAAAATTCTATCCACAATTAAACTACAATATCCAAAAAAAAGAGAAAATTTCATCTTAATTTAACTTTGGAAAAATTTTCAAATATTAATGTAGAGAGAAAAGTGATAACAAAATGCAAAGAAATAATTTTCAAAAATCAATAAGTTTACCATGATAAATTAGCCAATGAAAAATGAATTAAAAAAAAGAAATGAAAATTAAAAAAAATATAATTGAAGATTGATGTTTAACTTTACACTAAATTTCGAAATATCACTTTCATTCTTTCTCTCACTCCCTCTCTCTCTTTCTCAATAATCTCAATGATCGATAAGTATCATGAAGACAGCTGATACTGATAATGAAACGATGCACCGATGAATTGTATTCCTCCCATCAATCTTCTTTCTCAACTTGATGTCTTAATAATCACCCAAGTAAATTCATGTTGCATTGTCAATAATTGAACTTTAATTAACTGACAGTAATTAAATGTATTGAATTACAATTATTGCTATGATAAATTTCATCTTAAAGCTTCTAACAATGAATATTATGCATATATTTTTATTTTTATTATAATATCTTTCTGATAAATTATACTTTGATGATCATTCTTTGGAAGGAAAATTTTAGAATGGGTATTCATTCATTTTTCAATTTATTGTCCCTCCCTTATAAATTCTTTACTCATTCTAACAGTAAGAAAGAATTAACAGAAAAAAAAAGGAATACCCATTTCTCTCTCTCGCTTTTTCTCTCTCTCTCCTTCTCTTTGTGTGTGTGTGTGTGTGTGTGTGTGTGTGTGTG